GTATATAACGAAATCACATTAGTCCAAAAGTAAATAGGTTCCATTTTCATATTGCAGTGGTCCGAGATAGAAACTGATAGTTTTAGGTACTGCCTGGTGAGGTACGCCCGCCATGATAGCGGCATCACAACATACTGATCGAACTCAATGTTCAGAAAAGCGCGTTATTTCTAAATGCATTCTACCCCCAGAAGTATGGTCCTATCTCCAAAAACATTCTGACACAAGAGTTTAAGCAATAAATAAAGACCCTTGGATCCAGTAGTGCATAAAGGTGATGTTTCGTCCAAATGATATTCAGAACAAGTGATCAGCACTCCACACACAGTTTCGTTACTAAACAAATTCCTTACAGAGAAATACTTGCTTGGTGTAAGCCTGTACCTCGAAGTTATTAGTAACGGGGAAAATCTAACGGGAAAAGCTGAAATTTAAACATTTCAGAAGATGAAAGTGTCTTTCCACACTGATAAGTCGCTGCTGGGGCTTAAACAGTCACTAAACGTTACCTATAGGCCAGAGAGTTTTCTTTCAAAAGGCAAGAACAACCTTTAACATCCCGAGTGTCTGTGTAAGAGACCATGCAGGTTTTCGCGTAAAAAATTCTATTTCCATGAACAAAATAAATATTTCTCTTTTTTAGAGGAAATATTTTGGGGCAGATAAATTCAAGAATTGATGATAGGGGTTGATATCGTCCTCCGATAAGTATTGGCCACGGAGACGTTCTTCAAGAGATCAGCTAGTCGGAGCTGTTCGATGAAATGCTGTCGATCTTTGAATATTGGGTTTCAAAGTGTTTTGGTGAGAGTAGATAGACATGGGCTGTCATTAGTGACAAAAGATTTACAAACAAAAGCTGTCCACAGCAGGACTAACTATACCGCCGTAGTCTATCCCCATCTTCTGGATTGTTCTGTCCGGGACAAGGAATCCTGACAAATTAGCTGAAGCTGACTCTGTCAGAGATGTTTTTTAACATTTCAATCAAAATGAGCTTTTCAAACTCCCATACCATATCGGGATCCTGTTTCCTTGAAAGTCTCTCAGCCTCGATAGTGTTTACTCCGTGGATATGTGTTGTGTAGAGACATACATGTACACACCATTTCTACATAGATGTCGTTCAATTGTCAAGTTCCTCACATTTTCCAGCCATTTGTTTGCCTCTATACTGTCTAGGAATAGGCTGACACATCGGTCTAGGATACGGGTTGAGAGACAATGAACAGCTAAAAAGGCAGCGAGTGGTTTAGTCATATTGATATGGCTATTTTGTACATCGGTGTCCGTCGGTCTCAACTTTCTCCTCTGCGCGTTCATTTTCTTGGACTGCGCTCCGGACATAATCGATCTGATGTAATAGTGATAACACAGGGCGCCTGTACACACCTTTTTTGTTATCAATAATTCCAATGATTAGAGATATATAACAATTCTGTAGAGGATCTGTCCTTGTTTGGAGTACTAGTCCTAACTGTCTTTGGGTGGTAGGGTGGCGAAATGGTAACACATTCGCCTTTCACCTAGCCCTTCGGAGTTCTATTCCCCGAACTAACGTGAAAAGGTGTTAAGTCACCTGTCTGACCACGTGGGTTTTACCCGGATGCTCCAGTTTCCTACCACAGTTAGCGTTTCTATTCGGGCCAACAAGAGTGATTAATATAAACTGATAGCTTGCTCCGCAAATGTTGTAAAATGAATAAAGTTTATATTTTTAAACTGTCATTTTAAAGAGCCAGACCCACTCCTCGACCGATATTATTTCATATAAAAAAAAAATCATGATTTTCTATTTTTCTTGGGTAGCAAAAGTTCTGACTAACAATTAATACCACAAGTAAATCGCTACCAATCTAACGTAATCAATAGTTTTCAAAAAGAATTCGAAACGCCTCAGTGCTAATTCATACTTATGCTGGAAGTCCTGCCCTTTGACGCATGCGCAAAGAACTGTAGATAAATCTGCCGTCTTCCAACATGTCAGCGAGCGAGGGAAGCGGGAAAGAAAACTTGTTTTGACGGACTCTGAGGCGAAAAGAAGGAAGATGGCGCGAGACCGTGATATATCAAAGGCAAAGATTTATATTGGTTAGCATACGGAAAGATGGAATGCCCCCATTTGAGGACCTCTTTGCAATTAATCGTAGTTTTTCTCGTAATCTGCACGTTTTTGTGTCATATCTAAGAAATGAAAGATGTGATCAATACATACTTTAGATGATTTCCATACAGGATATATAGAGTATTGATTGCATTTCTCGGTAAAATCTCTTTACAAGCGATGTCACATGGACGCACTACTCACCTCTTCCAGCATTTTTGTTTTGGTTCTGACCGCGTCTGAACATATCACGTGACTTTTCCTCATCAACATTTATATCCTGGTGTTGATTAATGAGACTAATTCCGGCAACGATATCTCCGGTACCCTTTCAATTTCAAGTTAGAAACTTTATACAAGTCTTCATGTATATATTATCTATTAGTATAAAACAACATTTCCAGTCAATAAAATATGAAAAAATATCAATTACGGAGTGGGTCTGACTCCTTAATTACATTCTCGGCTTGCAGGATTTTTGTTTCACTTGTTCCCGACATTATTTTACCTAAATCGCGCTAGCCGAATGTGATTACAAAGCTGACTATTTCACTGGGCTTTGGGGTACTCCATAGCGTAGGGCTTGAGGATGATAGTAATACTATTACGTGGTATTCAGCAGTTGAGATTGAAGGAGGATGCGACGTTTACCGTCTGTTAGTTTGCTTGTGTAATTTATTTTCCTTAAAAGTTTTCACTTGTTGATAGTTGTCAGGGCAAAGACTATCACCAGTCATAATGTTTACCCTACACAAGCTCGGAAAGTTCCGGTTTAAGTGACGTCTGAAGATTGGACGCCGCTTGAAGGAGGCGCTATCAACAGTCATCTGTAAAGCTGTGTAAGAATCCAGTAATAACGTCCGCATCAGATGGTAAGGCGTTGTAATAAGTCTTCCTTAAACAGTCCACCAATCTGATCATGGGATACACAGCCTTGCACATTTTTGGAGAAATTTGCTTATGCCTCGATTGGCGGGAACCACATGTTCCTTAACATTCTCGGGCTTTAAAGTTTTTTGCGTGTAGGGTTTCCTATTGTCTTTTTACACTCGCAGCTGAAATGACGAGATTAACAAGTTTATCAAACACCTTGGCGCCGGTGTAACATTGAAAACTGACTCCCGTTGAAAACGGACCCGGGGTCCATTTTCAACGCGGGTCCATTTTTCAACGTTACACAGGCCGTCTCCGTGGTAATGAAAACCTGAGAAGTACGCTAATAACCCGCTCGGATACTGTTATCAGTGCATGATACGTCATTCGGCTCTAGACTTACGTCAGAGTCATTTAACACAAGTCTATCTGCGCCTACTGTGTCGGCGGTGCTCTTGTTTGATGAAGGACGGGATGGATAGATGTAGAAGGAAGTGTGCTGACGATCTGCGTTGAACTCTTTTGACGCCGAGTGTGCTAAGGCAAGGTCTTTGAAGGTAATTCATTTGCGCCAACCTTTCTCAATACCCTGTACTTGTATGGCGTTCACAGGATGTCGTCCAAGATTGGACGACGGCTTGAAGGAGAGAGGACGGCCGTTAACGAGCAAGGTATGCAAAGTCTACAATGCTATTTTTGTATATGTTTGTGTTGAAATGTCAGAAAGTGTTGTAAGGTCATTCACAGTTTGACATTTGACTTCATGTGTTTACATTAAAATTAAGATTCCCCAAATTATCTTTAGAGATTTTGTTCAAACTTAAATCAAGCTAATTTAACCCTTGACCTTTAAACCAGCTTCTATAACCCTTAGCCTTTACCAGCTGACCTACTGTAACCCTTTCAAAAACGAATGAAGTAAGTTGTTATAGTCAATCGATTGTGACGACAGACAGATACAGAAGTGACGTCAGACGATTTTCGAGCATGCATGTCTAGATGGGTGTCAAATATCGGCAAGGAGTAACTGTAAACCAGTTTTAGATTGCGGGCGATTTGACGTAGAGACAACTCGGCCGCAGTGAGAATAGATTTCATGCTGGCCGATCGATACTAGTCATTCGTCATTGACGACAGCAGCAGTCGCTGTCAAAATACGGCGTTCATATTTACAACAGTTTGTCATACTATAATACCCTTTATCAATATTTACTGCAATATGACCCCCAGCTGACGTCAGATCCCCTTGTTTATTGACAGAGGTTTGAGATATGAGTGATTTCTTATACAGTGGATAGAGACATAAATGACGAAGAAAGACCATTTTTATTTCTGTCCCGTTTCAGGCTTCGATCATGTCACCTACTACAAATTACGTCACCTCGATTGAAAGGAAAGAATTTTGCCTCAGAGTTTTCTAAATCACATTACGAATTGAGACACAAATTGTCTATTTACAATGACTTATCACCAGTATCATTTTGAGGCGACGGTTCCTTGTAGTAGCTGGTGGCTACCTCATTCAAAGATATGCGAGAGACCCACCGCACGCTATATAAAGCCATTGGGGTAATGTGTCTCCTCCAAGGAAATGATCAGAGCACTGGTCAGTCCATGACCCCGAGAAACATAAACCAATCCTGGTTGGGATCAAATCAGGAACCTCGAATCTTCAAGTGAGTTTGAACATACGATAATATACCGATTGAGCTATCAGAAACCCCATGATGAAAGTTACTTCATCGATATATTGTATATATTTCAATCCTTTATGAAACAAGCATTTTTATTCGTCTTTTTTCATGCCATCACCCTATTCTGTTCTATTACGTCATGACATGTAAGCATTTAAAGATGGAGATACAGGGACGTTGCTATCCAGAAATGAAAAAATCACAATAGGAAAATTGAAACATTGGTTTCGTTGTATGAAAAGATCGAATAAGCGCTACAGAAAACAAGAAGTATTTATTATAATGAAAACAATGCCATTGTTCTTTGTATAAATATTTTAATCTATATTTTACAAATTGCAGTCAAGTTTAATGTATCACATAAGGTTTTATAATAAGGAATGATAAATCGTCATTATATAGAGAACTGACGGCACCAACTCTAATATAATTCTCCATATCTTCCTGACAAGACGTCGGTTCGATTTAAATGTTATAGACAATAAAAATAGCAACTCGAAAAAGCGATATATCATATGGTTTTGTGACGTCGAAAGGATTAAAAAATTCGGAAGCATCTACTAAATTCTACATTTTTGCTTTTACTTTCCTATAATCGAACCCATCGACCGTGAGGAAAACAGGAGAAAATGAACACATATTCAGAAAAGAGAAACAACATGTTGTGGTGTAGCTATAACCACTGATTAGAACAAAGTAATATACTTTGACAGGTGAGGAGTTTTATACTCGGGTGGATAACCCGGTGTTTTACTTAATCACCATAGAAAGTCAGACATTTATGTAAGTTAAAGGAAAAGTTAAATTTCTGGAAATATTTAATGCTTTCCTATAGCAATATTAAGTTAAAGAACATCCCTATAGTACCAGAAAACAGGGGCCAGAGTTGTAAAATACAAATGTAAGCATGATTATAATACGTAATTTTTATCAGCAATAAAACAGATAAAAACGTCTTTCTCTTTAGGTATGGCTTCAAAGTTGGCAAACTATAGCACGTATTTGTCACCCGTATCCAAATATGGCTTCAAAAATGAGCAAAGAATCATGCATACCATGTGCGAACTGAAGTACAGCAAACAATAGTACATATCTGTCTTCATGTATGGCTTCCAAATACGCTGCATGTATCTCCCTTAGTAAAACACACTTCGAATTGAGCCCGAACAGCACATATCTCTTGCCCTTAAAACGCACTTCGAATTGATCCCAAACAGTACATATCTCTTGCCCTTAAAACGCATGGCACATATCTTTCTCTCTTTCTCGAGTATAGCAGCGAATTGAACTCACATTGCTTTAAAAACGCATGGCATCAAAATGAGCAAAACCAGCACATACAGTGTTTGTGTTCCTAACATACAGTGTTTGTGTTTCTAACTAGAGTATGGTTTAAACCTCACATAAGCACATATCTGTCTATCTTACTCTTTGAAATGTGCTCCAACTGCTTTTTTTCTATTTATCGCCCTAGAAATGCAGGGCTTGAAAACGAGCAAAAACTGTACGTATTAGTGTCTCTAACGGAAGTATGGTCTCAAAATATCCTTCAGACTTCGTAAAAACACGTGGTGGTTAGAACGACGACATCTGATCTGACATCGTCGAATAAACAGTTTGCTTAAAATACTGTATAAACTTCTAAATATCAATACCAGGACTGCAATTCTGCTGACATAAAAGTCAGGTTTTAGTAATATAGAAAGACATACATACAGAACATCAGTTTTCATGAAATACAGCTTGTATCTGATGACATTCAGACTATCGAAACATTATAGCCGATTTTGTTAAAACTGTTTTATCTTAAGCCTAAGTTAGGATATACCAAACAAAATCCCTCATATTTCATCAGTCTGTCATATCCTAAATGTTATATTCAAGTAATTCTTTAAGTAATTCTGTGACAGATGTCTTCCAGCAGCGCCAGTTGCAGGATCTACAGAGAATATATTGCCAGTATCGTATAACATTAATTGTAGTTTGTCGAAGGCGAAGGACAAACGTGACGAGCAACTTTAGTCTTTCTGTCCGGAGCAAATTGCCGCTTACATCTTCGATACCGACCATGTTTTTTTCATTTATCCTAAACAATGATTGACATTGCAGACTAGTGAAACCCTTAGTTGTTCAATCTGCGTTTACCTGACGTTGGAGTAACTATGAATTGTTCAGCAATGAAGTAGAATTCCAACCAAAGTTGAACGGATATAACGCCAATTTTATGAATTTTCTTAAACTTGAACATCAAAATAGATTAGGAAATAATTCTAGCGAACTAATGCACGTGCTGAAATACAGTTTTTCTCCCTCCCTGTCAAATACAGCGAAATATATGTGGCAGGTGTATTCCGACAATGGTAGCGCCAGTTATAGGATACAGATAATGATGCATTCTGTCAAAAGAAATGACATTCGTATGCGCATGCGTAAGTATTCAGTCGTGTTAGTTATGATTGAAGATTATCATCACATACAGTAGTTTGTTAACATTTCAGATCTCCTTGATGAGAACAGCTTTAAAGTCGCACTTATCATTACAATGGTCAATCAGTGTATTTCTTATGTCTGAGTTTTATGTCATATACACGACCGTACTACTAACAAAGCAGACATATTTATGTCAAATGTTAAACACGTGTTCCAAATTATCTCTTACCTCCTGATAGGGAAAATGAAGGCATTCAAAACAGAATAGAGAGGAAATTAAACGGAATATCATGTGGCATTTGCGATAAATAAGTTTGAAAAGCAAACATTTGTAAGATCAACATAACAACATTTGGCAATGACACATACACATACAGAAACCTTACACAGGCTTAAACATTTCAACATAACATTTGGAATAATTGAATTTCGCATCATATTGCATGAAAAAATGTTAGAGTGCAAACGGTAAAATCTGCCCTTTGCTTTTGTCCACCGATAGAAGAATTTGGGAGCACGGCTGACCTTAGCCCAACCACAGCCTGGTAGCTCAAGAGCTAGGCGACCTGCCTACTTTTCATTGTTCTCCGTCATTGTTACCAGCGGGAACCTTCAGAGTACAGCTATTCACATAGGAAGTATCCATCGATCCACCTGCTACATGTTTTACACAAAATACTTTAGATATCTGTCAGTTGTAATAGATGGCAACGATTCGTGTCAAGTCTTATTAATAAAACTCTGACCACCGCCAGCTTGTCAAACTCTACATGTCGTGACGTAAATTTAACGTTACTCAAATGGTTGGTAGTTATGCAGAATTCACTCTAGATATTTTGGCACTTCTGACCTTTGACATATAATTGAATCGGGGTTAGGACGTAATTACAAACACGGATCAATTGGGGGCTTGCATGACGGACGAACATCATACTATTGAGGCAGAGCAGCACAGCTTACATCAAGATTGTGTCACTGAAGTTATTATCAGCCTTATATAGAGTAAAGAAAAGTAAAAAAAGTTTGATGGCAAAAACTATATACATGATGATGGAAAGCAGCAGATGACTTTACGGGAGTATTATTATCAGCGATATGGCAGTTCTGTCCACAGGATTATGATAACTCTCGTCAACATGGCTTCTATGCGATCCAGCAACCAGTCGTGAATCCAGCGCTGATTGATGACGCGATGCCGTGATGTCATGTCACGTGGGGAGGAAACACTAGGATGGTGAAGTGTCTGGTAGACCCTTCTCGCGCGTCCGTTCAACTATCTACCGGAGCAACATGAAGACAAATGTTGTTTTAAGTAGTGCGTCTCTCCAGGTGTTCTGTGTCATGTGGCTTGGGTGATATTCATTTCCATGGTTACTGTTTCCTTGGTTAGACTGTTCTGTGGACCACTGCCCTGATAGTGCTGGGTAACTTCTGGTGTCTGGACGTGCTGAACCTTACTCAGTCGAACTACCTCCTCGGATAGCATCTCCAGATCCTATAAAGAAAAAGGAAAAAATACGAATTTGATGTCATTAATATTCCACAAGTCACTAAAGAAAAGGAACAATAAATGGATTTAATACAGTTTTTGTCTGAAAGCAACAAGATGAGCGATGGTCACAGCAGGTCGACTCCTCGGACGGGGAAGGTCGTGGTGCGAGGTACTTTATCACTAATATGTCCATCTCTGTAATCAATACTAATACAGTTATCAAGATCAACACGACGTTACTGAAACGGGGCTCAACACTACAAACACAGGGCTCAACACTACAAACACCAGGCTTACTACTGCAAGCACAGGGCTCAACACTACAAACACCAGGCTTACTACTGCAAGCACAGGGCTCAACACTACAAACACCAGGCTTACTACTGCAAGCACAGGGCTCAACACTACAAACACCAGGCTTACTACTGCAAGCACAGGGCTCAACACTACAAACACCAGGCTTACTACTGCAAGCACAGGGCTCAACACTACAAACACCAGGCTTACTACTGCAAGCACAGGGCTCAACACAGGGGCTCAACACTACACTGCAAGCACAGGGCTCAACACTACAAACAAACACCAGGGGCTCAACACTACAAACACCAGGCTACTACTGCAAGCACAGGGCTCAACACTACAAACACCAGGCTTACTACTGCAAACACAGGGCTCAACACTACAAACACAGGGCTCAACACTACAAACACCAGGCTTACTACTGCAAGCACAGGGCTCAACACTACAAGCACAGGGCTCAACACTACAAACACCAGGCTTACTACTGCAAGCACAGGGCTCAACACTACAAACACCAGGCTTACTACTGCAAGCACAGGGCTCAACACTACAAACACAAGGCTTACTACTGCAAGCACGCTCAACACTACAAACACCAGGCTTACTACTGCAAGCACAGGGCTCAACACTACAAACACCAGGCTTACTACTGCAAACACAGGGCTCAACACTACAAACACAGGGCTCAACACTACAAACACCAGGCTTACTACTGCAAGCACAGGGCTCAACACTACAAGCACAGGGCTCAACACTACAAACACCAGGCTTACTACTGCAAGCACAGGGCTCAACACTACAAACACCAGGCTTACTACTGCAAGCACAGGGCTCAACACTACAAACACCAGGCTTACTACTGCAAGCACAGGGCTCAACACTACAAACACCAGGCTTACTACTGCAAGCACAGGGCTCAACACTACAAACACCAGGCTTACTACTGCAAGCACAGGGCTCAACACTACAAACACCAGGCTTACTACTGCAAGCACAGGGCTCAACACTACAAACACCAGGCTTACTACTGCAAGCACAGGGCTCAACACTACAAACACCAGGCTTACTACTGCAAGCACAGGGCTCAACACTACAAACACCAGGCTTACTACTGCAAGCACAGGGCTCAACACTACAAACACCAGGCTTACTACTGCAAACACTGGGCTCAACACTACAAACACAGGGCTCAACACTACAAACACCAGGCTTACTACTGCAAGCACAGGGCTCAACACTACAAACACCAGGCTTACTACTGCAAGCACAGGGCTCAACACTACAAACACCAGGCTTACTACTGCAAGCACAGGGCTCAACACTACAAACACCAGGCTTACTACTGCAAACACAGGGCTCAACACTACAAACACAGGGCTCAACACTACAAACACCAGGCTTACTACTGCAAGCACAGGGCTCAACACTACAAACACCAGGCTTACTACTGCAAGCACAGGGCTCAACACTACAAACACCAGGCTTACTACTGCAAGCACAGGGCTCAACACTACAAACACCAGGCTAACTACTGCAAGCACAGGGCTCAACACTACAAACACCAGGCTTACTACTGCAAACACTGGGCTCAACACTACAAACACAGGGCTCAACACTACAAACACCAGGCTTACTACTGCAAGCACAGGGCTCAACACTACAAACACCAGGCTTACTACTGCAAGCACAGGGCTCAACACTACAAACACCAGGCTTACTACTGCAAACACAGGGCTCAACACTACAAACACCAGGCTTACTACTGCAAGCACAGGGCTCAACACTACAAACACCAGGCTTACTACTGCAAGCACAGGGCTCAACACTACAAACACCAGGCTTACTACTGCAAACACAGGGCTCAACACTACAAACACCAGGCTTACTACTGCAAGCACAGGGCTCAACACTACAAACACCAGGCTTACTACTGCAAGCACAGGGCTCAACACTACAAACACCAGGCTTACTACTGCAAACACAGGGCTCAACACTACAAACACCAGGCTTACTACTGCAAACACTGGGCTCAACACTACAAACACCAGGCTTACTACTGCAAACACTGGGCTCAACACTACAAACACCAGGCTTACTACTGCAAACACAGGGCTCAACACTACAAACACCAGGCTTACTACTGCAAACACAGGGCTCAACACTACAAACACCAGGCTTACTACTGCAAGCACAGGGCTCAACACTACAAACACCAGGCTTACTACTGCAAACACAGGGCTCAACACTACAAACACCAGGCTTACTACTGCAAACACAGGGCTCAGTACTGCAAGCACAGGGCTCAACACTACAAACACCAGGCTTACTACTGCAAGCACAGGGCTCAACACTACAAACACCAGGCTTACTACTGCAAGCACAGGGCTCAACACTACAAACACCAGGCTTACTACTGCAAACACAGGGCTCAACACTACAAACACCAGGCTTACTACTGCAAACACTGGGCTCAACACTACAAACACCAGGCTTACTACTGCAAGCACAGGGCTCAACACTACAAACACCAGGCTTACTACTGCAAGCACAGGGCTCAACACTACAAACACCAGGCTTACTACTGCAAACACAGGGCTCAACACTACAAACACCAGGCTTACTACTGCAAACACTGGGCTCAACACTACAAACACCAGGCTTACTACTGCAAGCACAGGGCTCAACACTACAAACACCAGGCTTACTACTGCAAACACAGGGCTCAACACTACAAACACCAGGCTTACTACTGCAAGCACAGGGCTCAACACTACAAACACCAGGCTTACTACTGCAAACACTGGGCTCAACACTACAAACACCAGGCTTACTACTGCAAACACTGGGCTCAACACTACAAACACCAGGCTTACTACTGCAAGCACAGGGCTCAACACTACAAACACCAGGCTTACTACTGCAAGCACAGGGCTCAACACTACAAACACCAGGCTTACTACTGCAAACACTGGGCTCAACACTACAAACACCAGGCTTACTACTGCAAGCACAGGGCTCAACACTACAAACACCAGGCTTACTACTGCAAACACAGGGCTCAACACTACAAACACCAGGCTTACTACTGCAAGCACAGGGCTCAACACTACAAACACCAGGCTTACTACTGCAAACACTGGGCTCAACACTACAAACACCAGGCTTACTACTGCAAGCACAGGGCTCAACACTACAAACACCAGGCTTACTACTGCAAACACAGGGCTCAACACTACAAACACCAGGCTTACTACTGCAAACACTGGGCTCAACACTACAAACACCAGGCTTACTACTGCAAGCACAGGGCTCAACACTACAAACACCAGGCTTACTACTGCAAGCACAGGGCTCAACACTACAAACACCAGGCTTACTACTGCAAACACAGGGCTCAACACTACAAACACCAGGCTTACTACTGCAAACACTGGGCTCAACACTACAAACACCAGGCTTACTACTGCAAGCACAGGGCTCAACACTACAAACACCAGGCTTACTACTGCAAACACAGGGCTCAACACTACAAACACCAGGCTTACTACTGCAAGCACAGGGCTCAACACTACAAACACCAGGCTTACTACTGCAAACACAGGGCTCAACACTACAAACACCAGGCTTACTACTGCAAACACAGGGCTCAGTACTGCAAACACAGGGCTCAACACTACAAACACCAGGCTTACTACTGCAAGCACAGGGCTCAACACTACAAACAACAGGCTTACTACTGCAAACACAGGGCTCAGTACTGCAAACACAGGTCTCATTACTGCAAACACAGGGTTTAGTACTGCAAACACAGGTCTCATGACTGCAAATATAGGGCTTAGTACTGCAAACACAGGTCTCATGACTGCAAATATAGGGCTTAGTACTGCAAAAACAGGGTGCAGTATTGCAAATATAGGGCTTAGTACTGCAAACAGTGTTCAGTACTGCAAATATAGAGTTCAGTACTGCAATCATATGTCTCAGTCCTGCAAACACAGGATTCAGAAATGCCAGCACAGGGCTCAGTACAGAAACCACTGGGCACAGTACTGCAAACACAGGGCTCAGTACAGCAACCACTGGGCTCAGTACAGCAACCACTGGGTTCAGTACTTCAAACACAGGACAACGGATATAGGGCTCAATACTACAACCATAGGACTCCATATTGCAACCACAGGGCTTAGTACAGCAAACACATGGCTTTATACAGGGTTCGAAGCTAGAGAAATGGGGCTCAACACAGCAAACAAAAGGCTCAGTACTGCAAACACAGGGCTCAGTATTGCAATCATAGGACGTAGTTCTACAAACACAGGACTCAGTTCTGAAAACATAGGTGCATTACTGCGAATACAGGGCTCAGAAATACCAACACAGGGCTCAGTATTGTGAACACAGGGCTTTTATCTGGGTTCGAGGCGACTGAAACAGGGCTCAACACTGCAAACACAGTGATTGATACAGCTTTAACATGGTTCCTGACTGCAAACACAGGGTTCAATACTTTAAACATAGGGCTTGTTTAGGCTTATACAGGGTTCAAGTCTACTGAAACAGGGCTCAGTTCTGCAAATATAGGGCAAAGTATTGTAAATATCAGCCTTTCTACAACTTAAAATGGGTTCACCACTACTGAAGCAGGTTTAATAACACTGATAAATCAGGTTTCAGCACCGCTTACAAATTTATAGACATGGTTA